GCATTCCTGGCTTCTGATTGGCTACAGCTGCCTGCTGGGCACCAGAACCCAAATGGGTTCTGGGTTCTGATTCCAGGTTCTAGGTGCTGGTGCTGCCTGGCCCAGACTGCGCTTGCTGCATATGGATCCTGAGCTAAAGCTCCCCCACTCATGCTCTCAGCCCGAAGCCTCAATCTCTCTGGACCTCAGTTTCCCCAGATGCAGAATGGTGCCCTAACTGCATCCACCTCGCTGTGACAGGCAGAGATGAAGTGAGTTGATGATGGTGAATTTGGGTACAAAATAGGCACCACATCATGTCCGTGTCAGGGAAGGAGGGGCTAGGTTGTCCCAATTCTGTGGATGAGGGAAACTGAGGCTCGAGGATGCCCTGCTAACAGGTGTCTGGGTGCCATGAGAGCCCCTACACTGCTCCCCTGTGCTCTCTGCAGGGGGCTTCCCCTGCACTTCAGGACCCACCCGGGGTCAACATCCCAGAATGCAATGTGCTGCCTGGGGTCCCTTCAGATCACCACCAACCCTAATGGCCAGAGCCTGCGGCAGACTCCGGAGAGGGATGTCCCAGAACCTGGCACAACCTGGCTCCACTGGGACAGGAGGACCGGCTCTCACCCCAGCCCCCGACCCAAGCCAGGCCACACCCCCACCCACCAAGGTGCCAATAAAACAAATGGACAGAACTCATCAGGCCTGGTGGTGACATCCCAGATGCTACAGCACAGGAGGGGCCAAGAGGCGGCCCCTAACCCAGCAAATGAAGCTCCTACGGCTCTTAGCCACTCATGGAGCAGAAGGGTCTCATACAGGTGGGGCCAGTGGGCAAGGGCAGGGGCTCCTCGTTCCAGCTGATGCCATGTCCCCACGATGGTGACCAGCTAAAAGGAGCCTGACACCACGTCGACTTGCAGTGTAGCCCCCTCCCCAACGCCCGTCATGGAAGAGGCCCTGCGGAGCCACCCGAGCCCATTGGCCCTCCACCTCCTCCTGGACCAGCCACTCATTACTCAGACCCCCTGGGGCCTCCTGGGTAAAAGGGCGATGGGGGGGCAGGTGAATGGCCCCTGTAAAAACCGGGAAGGGGCACCCCCCCAAAAGACCTCAGTATCCAGCAGGCCAGTGGTCCCTGGGCACAAAGACCCTCTCAGAGATCACAGGGGGCGAGTGACCAGGACCGCAAAGCAGCACCCAGCACCCCCTCCCCCGCGGCAGTCACCCCACCAGCTCCCAAAGTTCGGAGGGGGCATTTCTCACCCAGTGTCTGGGGCCCACTGCCCCTCTCCCACTTTTGACAACTTCAGGACAAGCCCCCTCCCAAGGAAACGCTCCAGGCAATGCCCCCCACCTCTTTGGGGGGCATAAGGAAGAGGCCAGAGGAAGCCACTCCCCCCCCACGCTGCCCCCGCCTGGCCTGCTGGGTTTAATGACCCTTCCGGGTCACCCCCGGTGGGGGAGGGGAGCAGGGCAGGCCTCCACCCCACGGCTTGAGGGGGCAGGTGGGAATCCCGGAGCCCCTCTGGGCCAGGCCTGGGCCCCCTCAAGGCTGCCATTAACCCTAAACTGGCAGCGCCCACCCCCTCCAGACCCCTCCCCCCAAGAGCCCTTTGTCCTCGGCCCCTACTCCCACTTTATGACAGCCCCCTGGGAAAGGCATTCCCAGGCAGGGACCTGGCAGGGATGGGGGGTGCTGAGTGGTCGTTAGGAACTGGCTGGAGGGGGTGGGGGGGCGAGGAGAAATCGGGCCACGCCCATCCCCCCCATGCCTCTGGGAGAGAGAGGTCACCCGCTCCGGCCGGGGCT